GTACTCCGTGCGTAGCTGCTGGCACTGCGCGTCCGCCGTGCACGCCTCGGCCGCGTCCACGCATCGGTTCCTTGCGGCCGAGCTCGTAGACCCTAGTGGAGGGGCGGGCAGACTGCAGTCAGTTCTCGGTGCCCCCCGCAGGCCCCGAGATGCGCTCAAAGCCCGAGGGGAACAGAGTGTGGCCTGAGGTGTGAAGGACCAGCCTTCCGTCGCGGAGATGAGTGGCGCGCCGGGCCCGGGTGATTCCTGCAACACATCAGGGATGGATGGGGCGTACCGAGGCTCCCCTAGAGGCTGAGGCCCGTCCTCTCCAGGCACCACCCCTCTCCCAGAACGTCCCACCCATCCAAAGAGGGATCCCCGAATCTCCTCCCACTCTCATGAGACGCCCCTGACGCGGAAACAAAGCTGCGGGGGACCTGGTTAATGAAGACTTATCAGAAATTGCCTCGAGGACAGTGGACACTCCTCATCCTCGCTCTGGCACGCTGAGCTTTCTTCTTTCTCCTCCTTCCCTCTCCCCCTCCCGTTTGGAGACCCTTCACGTGGGTCCATAGGTTTCTGGTTCTCCCTCCTTCCTGGCCTCCTGCACCTCCACCGGCCCCTGCCACTGGCGTCTTCCCCCTCCACTCCCTCTGGTGCTCCCTCTGGCCAGTCTAATCCGTGCTGCCCCATCTGGACTCTGGCTTCCTCCTGGTTCCTCCAGCCTCTACCAGCTAGGGGAAAAAGGGATTCTTGAAAGAGCTCTGGGCGCTGGAGAGCCCGGCTGCTAAGGTGTGAATCTGAGAGAAGTCCCTCATGGCAGGCCAGAAGGTGCACCTGGCACAACTGGCACACACCAGAGGTTGGCTGGGCAGAGGGTGTGCTCTGGGCAGATGTGCCGCAGGCCACATCGAAATCCAGCCCCGCAGTCTCTTCCTAGAACCTAGGGCATCAAACCAGTCTCCATCTGCCCCTCATGTTCTCAGAGCCCCTAGAACAGTGGTTCTCAACCTTCCTAATGCCGCAACCCTTTAATACAGTTCCTCATGTTGTGGTGACCCCCAACCATAAAATCATTTTCATTGCTACTTCATAACTGGAATTTTGCTACTGTTATGAATCGTCATGTAAATATCTGATATGCAGGATGTATTTTCATTGTTACAAATTTAACATAATTATAGTGATTAATCACAAAAACAGTATGTATTATATATGTGTTTTCCGATGGTCTTAGGCGACCCCTGTGAAAGGGTTCTTCGACCCCCAAAGTGTCGCGACCCACAGGTTGGCGACCCACAGGTTGAGAACCACTGCCCTAGAAGCTGGCAGGCCAGCTCCCAGCCTGGCCCCACCCCCGTCTCACTGTGTATGTGTGGAGGAGGGTCCCCTGCTTCAGGGCTTGGAGCAAAGTCCCTCTCTGGCATTGGCCACCTCTTTTGGGTGCCCTGCTGATTCTTGCAGTGGCTTCAGTGCCATCCTCTCTGCTGGAAGGACAGACACTAAGGACTCGGAATGGGTATGGAAGTGGAGAGGTTTGGCAGGAGAGGTTTGGCCCTCCCTCTCTCCTCCAGGACACAGCACGGCAGGCAAACTGTGCCCTTCTCTCCCAGCAAAGCCCCTCCTGTTCCCAGGCCTCAGCCAGATACAACAGTACCTGTGTCTGTCCCCTAAGGTCTTGGCTCCACCTCTGCTCATTTGCTTACCTGTCTCCCTCGTGAGGAACAAACTTACCGCATCATCACCCTCAAAACAGCACATCTCAGCTCCAAGGTCTCCTCTGCCTGATTTCATTCTCCTCATCCCACCCAGGATGACCCCTCCATGATGCGTCAGATGGGAAAGAGACAGTCTGAGCAGGTGGAACAGCGGGTGAGTGGCAGGGAGACACTGAAGATGCCGGGCAAGAAATCAGTGTGAAACTCCAAGACCGAAGGTGGGGGGCTGAGGCTGGAGGAGGGGTAAGAAAGGTGGGAGAGGGCAGGCAATAGGAAAAGGAAAGTTCCTGGGGCACGAGTACCAGGTGGGGGTTGGGGAAGGGGGTGGCTGACCCGAAGGCAGGAGCAGGATGAGCAGAGCGCAGTGAGCAGACTGCCAGGTGTCCCTGCACCCCAAGCACAGGTCTCTCGCTGGCCTTCCAGCTTTTCCTGGAATCACCCTCTTGCCCTCTACTCTGTCCCCGAGAATCTGGGATAGAGAGGCCAGAGTTCAGGGGTCCTGAGGAAGAGGTGGCCACTCACTCAGAAGCAGCTGTAGCAGCAGCAGCAGCAGCATCACGAGGCCCAAGCAGCGGCCCATGCCGGTCTGCAGAGTGGAGGACAGCGCCAGGCAGAATCCCAGTGGGACAGGTGCCTTCTTCCCAGCCCTGCCGGAACTGAATTGGGTAGAAACCCAGACGCTGTGCTGACATGAGCACTCCTGCCACTGGGAGGAGCCTTTGCATGACTCCCTCCCCCACTGAGTCTCCACCCTAAGCCTCGCCTCAGGTAGATCCAGGAGCCACTGAATCTAGAGCCTGAATGTCCAGTGGTTCTCAACCTTCTGGCCCTTTAAATACAGTTCCTCATGTTGTGACCCAACCATAAAATTATTTTCGTTGCTACTTCATAACTGTAATGTTGCTACTGTTATGAATCATAATGTAAAGATGATATGCAGGATGGTCTTAGGCGACCCCTGTGAAAGGGTCGTTCGACCGCCAAAGGGGTCGCGACCCACAGGTTGAGAACCGCTGGTTAGATGGACCCCCCCCCCCCAACAGCACCCTCCTCCCCACAGCAACACCTACAGCCACCGCAGGAGGCCTTGTCTCTCCCATTCTAAACCGTGAACTTTTTGAAACAACATTGTTCTTTGCCTTCTTTTATAATTTTATTAACTTTTTAAAAAATATGTTTTTATTGATTTTTTTTTTTAAAGAAGGAGGGGGGGAGAGAAACGTTGATCAGTTGCCTCCAGTACGTGCACCAGGAATTGAACCTGAAACCTAGATACCAGTATGTGCCCTGGCCGGAACTGAACAAGCAACCTTTTGGTGCACAGGACTATGCTCAACCAACGGAGCCACACCAGGCAGGGCAATTTTTAACTTTTTATTATTAACTAATTTTATACTTGAACAAAGGTTGCAATCATGTTAGTGTTTGCTCTATACCTTTTACCCAGCTGCCCCTTGTGTTAACATCTCACATAATTAGAGTATAACTAGAGGGCCGAAACTGGCAGTCCAACATCCCCCGAGGGATGTAGCAGTGCGGGCAGCAGCAGGTGGCCAGAGAGGAGCCTGAGCCGGGTGCTGCTCTGGCTCATCCGGGCCCCACTGTGCCTGCCGCTGCTGCTATACTGCTGGGTAAGGCTGCCACTGAGGCAGGAGAGGCTTGCGCCACAGCAGCTGCTCTCGCCAGCAGTGAGCCCGGCTTCTGGCTGAGTGGCACTCCCACTGTGGAAGTGCACTGACCATCTGGGGGCAGCTCCTGTGTTGAGTGTCTGCCCCCTGGTGGTCAGTGCACATCATAGCAACCGGTCGACTGGTTGTTCGGTCGCTTAGGCTTTTATATATATAGGTTGTTAAAACTAGGGAATTAACATTGGTACAATACAATATACTACAGACCATTTTTAATTTCTCCAGTGTTTCCACTAATGTCCTTTTTCTGTTTCAAGATCCAACCCAGGATCCCACATGACATTCAGTGGTCATGTTGCCTTAGCTTCCTCCAAACTGTGGTAGCTCTCGTCTTTCCTTACAAGCCTGGTGCTTCCCCATGCAGCCCTGCATGCCCCCATTTCTTGGGGACTGTACGTGATAAAAACTCCTTCCAATGGCATTCATCTCTCCAGGTCCTCACTCAGTCATCTCTATAAATCAAAATCTCACAGGTAGAAAGATCACAGGACTTCAGAAAACACTCTCATTCCGCCTCTTGGGCTGGTGGAGTAAAAGCAAGCCTGAGCTGGGGGCTGCCTCTCCTGTGCTGCCGGTGGGAGGATCAGACACTTGCCGCCATTCCCCAGCTCTTCACACGCCCTGAAATATGATTTTGCATTCTTCCCATTAAGAGGAGACTTTTTCCCCAATCCCTGGAACCCAGGCTGGCCCATAGAGTGTCATGGTAAGTGCCATGTGCCAGCCATGGAATCTTAGGAGATCTCCACGCTTCCAATCTGTTGCAGGATGAGGTGAGAGAGGAACTTGCCTCAGGAGCACCATGGCTGATGTTTCCTTTTGCCTCTGGCTCCCACCTGCTTGGGGTGGTCCTGTTATTGATCCTGTCTTCACTTAAATTTTTAATATTTTGTTCATCATGGGTTTTTAGCACTAATTTTGATCTTTTAAAATATTACTTATCTTGATTATTATTTTTTTTGCCCAAGGTAAGTGAGCACACTTACCTCATCCTAATCCTGGTCCTGCTCTCTTAGAAATCCCCCCCCCCCAGCTGTCATGTGAACAAGCCTGGGCTAGCCCACTGGAAAATGAGAGACACACAGCCCATCTATTCCCATCACCCCAGCCAACCGCCAACCAACCCCAGAAGCAGAACTTCCTAGTTGGCCAGCAGTTGACAGCAAACATATAAGTGAGCTGAGTTGAGACCAATCGAACCACCAGCTGAGTTCAACCTAACTTGCCAATTCCCGGAATTGGTTGTTGTTTTAAGTTTTGGGGGAGTGTTGTTACACAGCAACAGCTGGCTGATACAGGTCACTCAGCAACTCTTGCATGAAGCAAGGGAAGAGACTAAGTGGCTTCTGAGACTGTCCAAGGGAGGCCAGTGAGGTGGGGCAAAGAGATCATTCAAGCAAGACAACACCATCTTATATCCACGTCCGTCTGGGGTTCTCGCTACCATCTGAGGCTTCACCCACCAGCCACCACCCCTCAGGGAGCCCCACAGGGTTGAATTTACAGGCAGAAAAGACTCACACGGTCCCTTTGGTGCCCTTTCTAAAATGGCTCCCTCAATCCCTGCCTAGGGAATGTAGGAGAGGCTCAATAATGTCCAAAGTGGGGGGGGGGGCAGCATACCCCACACTCCTCCAAAACCTCAGGTGCAGGACTAGGACTGGGATGGGGCTGAGGAACTATCTAGGGGACAAGATAGGGCAGGAAAAGGGAGGGAGGAAGGTCCCAAGGATTTTGTTTGCTTTGCAGGGGCCAGGCTCCAGGGAAGTGGACTCAGTCTGAAATGTAGGGTCCCCGCGTCCAGGCTCTGGCCCAGCAGACATTGCCAGAGTCTGAGTCTGGAAGGAGTGCCTGTAGCACAGCACACATCCCCAGTTAGAGGCCTCTCCCGTGTGACCTAACCTCCCCCCGGTGACAGGAAGTCAGTGACTGTGAGCTTCATTTCCTGGACTGATGGTGTGAAGGAGAGACTGTTCCATGACATGAGCGCTTCCTGACCACTGCCAGATCCTCTGGGTCAGAACAGAGATTGCTTCCCATAAGTCCCCTCAGAGACTGATCACCCTCTCCATGTCCCAGGCATGCTGGTTCCTGGGACAGGCCCTCGCCCTTCCCTGGGCAAGCGTGTAAGGCCTTTCCCCTTTACCTGGGTGGGTTACGCCCAGCACCCCTATCCATCCTGCCCGTCTATACAACCCTTTGGCGGCTGCCGCATGGTGTGGTGGATATCCACTTGGTCTTGCCGCTGCCCAAGATGTACCTTGTATATGTTCCCTTAGTAAACTCTGGTAATGATGGAGTTGGCGCCTCTTTCTTTCGTCTCTCAGACCTGGGAAGTTTTACATAACAGATGCATTCTGGGGCTGGCATGATCCAGCCCTAAAGAACAGAGAGCGCTGGGCAAACTCTGATGAGGCTCTGGGCTCCTGGAGCGGGTAGGGCGGAGGTAACTCGGGGAAGAAACTTGCAAGCTGCCTGAAGGTACCGGTCAGCTGACTTGCTGACTCTGCCCCTGGCAGTCCAAGTGTCAGTAGCCACCTGTTTTTAAGTGTCCTCATCTCAGATCCCCCTCTCGACAGAGACTGGATCTTGGCTTCTGGACTTGACCTGCTGAAAATAAAGTGGGGGAGGGGTCATTCCCTGAGAACTGGGACCTCAGGCTGTGGGTCATGTGGCAGGGACCCCCTGTCCTCCCTCAGTGAGGACAGATGACCCAGAAAGAGCCACAACTTCTCCCTTCCCGACTCCAGAGGCTTCCAGCATCTGGCCTCCATGACAATAGCTTCAGGACCCAAGCTCAGAAACCCCAGATCAGTGAGCTGAGGGGCAGTGGGAGGTGGACCACATCAGGGTCCCCACCTACCTTGGGTGCAGGTAGGGCCACAGGGCACAGGTTTCTCAAGGTGGCTGTTGGGCTCTGGCAGGGATCTCAATGTCTGGGAGCAATGGGTAGAGAACGAGTGCTGTGAACACAGTTGGCAGTGGTCCCTGGGTGGGTAGGGCACTGGGGACTCAAGTTGGCTGGGTGTTACGTGTACAGGAGGGGGCCCAAGAGTCCATCCCTTCACTTCCTTCCCCATCTCCCCCTGCACCTCACTCACTGAGGGGTCGGGGCTCTCCAGTGGTCATCGGGCCCATCTCCAGGCGCTGACCACTGCCCAGGGGGTGATCCCTGCATGGGCCATCTTTGGGCCTGACCGGCGAGATAAGAGGTTGGAACAGTGCTGCTGAGCAGGACACCTCCCCCCACCCCTTCTGTGTTGACTGAGCCTCCACCTTCTGCTCTAGGTCACTCTCTCTAGTGACAGTTGTTCTCCACTCCTTGCCATTGGGTGACCCTACTGTCCTCAATGACTCCAAGCCATTCTTAGCTGCTCATGCTCCATCTCCCAGGGCCTGCCACTTCCATGTCTCTTCAAAACAGTCTCCACTGCCCTCCAGACTCTGCCCTGGCGATGACATGCAGTTGCTCCCCTCCCGGAGGGCCCCCCATGCTGATACATCAAGCTATGAGCACCTTGCACCACTGCCCACAGCACTGCAATCACTGCTCATTGTGTCAAGGCCCCTCACCTGACACCTGGGACCTGCCTGGTGCCCACCACTGTCAGGGAGGGTCTCTGTCCCTATCTCCAGCCCAAACCCTGCCCTTTCCCTCAGCTTGTCCTAGGCACACCCAAGGCCAGGCTGTGTCAGATGTGGCTATGAGGTGCCTGCCTTGCCCAGTACCCAGTGGGGCAGCCCTAGGTCAACCATGCTTGGTATTGTAGAACCCTCCTCCCAGGTTATGAGAGCTGGGTTCCTCTCGAGGCCTTGGCATAAGGGCAACTGGCGCTATAGCTGACCGGTGGTCTGGAATGGAAAGATGTGCCAACCCAGCATTTAGGAACCTGAGGGAGTAACAGCAGAGATTTAGGCAGAGGAAAGCTCATGAGAAAGAGGCTGGGGAGTCCTTGAGGGGTACAGTGGAGCAGGAACTGCATTACGAGCTGGTGGAAAACAGGGCAAAGTCAAAGATGAGGCAGTCCCCTGGTGGGAGAAACAGGAGAATGGACAAAAAGAGACTGAACCACAGCAACGGGGAAGGGACCCCCACCCTTGGCCCCTGGTGCCTCCTGCTCAAGGCCTCTTTCCATTCCCTCAGCTGCCTCTCTGCCTCTGGGAACAAGACCTAACTAAGGACACCACCCAAGCTGTCCCAGGCCCAGCAGAACTCTGAGGAGCAGGAACCACAGGAGTGGGCTCAGGGAGCAGGGACCTCAGAGCCTACCCACTGGCCCTCCTTGAGCTGCACAGGCCGTGCTGAAGCTGGGATCCGCGCTGCCGGTAGCAGCACCAGGCCAAGCCAGCCCCAGGAAGCAGAGGCAGTAGGAAGCTAAAGATCACTGCCAGCAGGAAGGCGTCCTGGTCTGCAAAGGACAAGGTGAGGCTGAGTCCTATATAGGTGCACCACAGGGCCCATCCCCTCTCGCCCCCGCTTTCGCACTTTCCGGCTGCACAGGGCCACTGTCCAGGCTGCCACCCGCCCCTGGCTGGTCACAGGAGGGTGGAGCCCAGCCAGGATCACAGTGGCAGTTATGGTTGCTGTTGCAAACCTGCAGAGGAAGAGAAAAGGAGGGTCCCGTGGGGTCAGAGACCTCAAGGTCAGTCGCCCCCCGCCCCCCCCCACACACACACACACTCAAGACCACTCACCCCATGGCCATGGCAGGCGGTCAGACAGAGCTCCAACTCCTGAAAGGTAGTGTTCTGGCAGCGCCTGTCCTGGCACACCTATGGGCAGTGGAGTGCAATAAGCACCGTGGGGGAGTGATGCTTTGGCCTAGGGACTCGAGTGGCAGGGAGGGCTCGGTGGGCAGGGCTCACCATTGTAGGCCCACACTGGGTGCCTGGCTCCACCAGGCCCAAGTCAGGCAGGTCCAGCTGGGCACCCGGGAGCAGGAAGGCCCCCCTGCAAGTCACCTCCCTGCCGTCCAGGCGGAGGGTAGAGTCCACCGGCATCGTGTGTGGTGCCAGTGGGCTCTGCTCCCCGCCCTGGCACTGCAGCTTCCCGCACTGCGCATCCCTGGGGACCAATTGGAGTGTCAAGCAGCATGGGGGGGTCCCCCTTGTGTCCAACCCACTCCCCAGCTTCCCGTCCCTCCGCTCCTCTCCTCACCTCTGCGTACAAGGCACGTAGCTGCCCTCCTCATCCCTCCCGCAGTTGCCATGGGCGTTTCCTGCCGAGTTCACCACGTGGAAACAGGCCTCCGGTGCTGGGCGGGAGCCTGGAGAAGCACGGGCCGGGCTGGGGACTAGGCTGCCCCTGCCCTCCGTTCCCCTCCACCTCTCCCCCCGCCCCTCCCATCTTTCCTAGAGGAGAAAACTCCCCAGACCCAAGGGTAGGCACGGGGTGCAAGGCCGCGCGTGTCTTCTCACCAGGTCCCCAGAGCTGTTGGCACTGCTGCTCGAGCGTGGGGCACGCGCCGTCCAGGCAGTAGCCACGGCCGCTGGCGCAGGGCGAGCGGGC